CGCTCGCGAGGCGGGAGATTATTATCAATAATACCACCACCAACTCAACTGACTCCTCTCCACTGATTCATCTCAACTCTTTTCCCTTTTTCAATCAATTTTTTCGGTTTACTCTGGGGTACATCAATTCACACTGAATTCATTAATAATTCCACCATTGAATTATTATTTCTGTGAAAAATAAACATCTTTCTTCATTAAAAATTCAATCCAATTGTTGCATAAATATTTATTATTGTCAATTTGTTCAATGAAATATGAACCTAAAAATTGATAATTACTTGATAATTAAAAAAACTCAGTGAATCGTCAAAAATGAAATAAAACAAATCAAAAAAATTTTAATAATTGAACTCTCACAATCTCCGAATAAAATCCAAATACTGAATACAGCAATGGCGGCCTTTTCCCGAGTGGTAAAATCATCATTAATAATTCCGAGTCAGCGGAAAAACTAGTGCTGAGACAGATAACGTGCGGAGATGAAGATAAAAATGAAAAGAATATCCAGAATGAAATGACGATGTTGGAGAGGAAGTTGGTGGGGATGAGGGGGATGAGGGGTGTAACGAGGACGAGAGGCTGGACGAATCAGATAGCGAAATGCAGGACCAGGGCCCTGGTTGAGATCACCCGATGATAAACAGAATTTAATAACCTGCTAGGGGGTGAGGTGTGTGATAAAAGGGGGGTTACAAGGCGGGAAGAGAGAGTACAAGCGTTACACTACACAAACCAGGGGGGTTTTCGACTGAGGGTGGTAAAGGGGGGGGGGTGGGAGGGGGTTCCGAGGGTGAAAGGGAAGTGCAATAATATCGAGAGATATCGATCTTTAATTAGGCACGCAGCGCGGGAATGCGAGATTAGAATCGCCAGACGTGAGTCGAGCCACTTTTGAACACTCCCTTATTTTTCATTTTATTTATTCTTCACATTTTTTCGGTATTTATCCAACCCCCTCACCCCTTCCCCCTCCTTCATCGGTTTACGTATTTTTTTGGGGGTTTTTTTTTACCGAAAATAATTACATTCCCACGGAAAAGAATAAATTTTCGATTTTTTGGGGTAAAATTGGGGTTTTGCGGAATAATTAATTATTATTATTAATATTATGAAGGAAAAATCCTGCGTAGAGATTATTATTGTAGTAATTTAATTAGTCGGTGGAAATTACTCAATTGATGAATGAAAATCGATGAAAAATTGATTTTTTTTTTTTCGCAGTGGAGGTGGAAAATTTTCCGAGAATAATTGTCAATTCGGTGAGTTGATAAGAAACAAGTTGTAGTGGGAGAATGTTTTTATCTCGTTGAAGTGTCTCGACAGTGTCAACTGGATTTTATCTCTTAATGACTACCCCATCTCCAGACTTAATCGGCAACACGTATAAACCATCCTGGAACCCACTGCATATTCAATGCGCACAAACCACTGACATTCGCCGTCCGGATATTATTTCATTTAATTCCTCCGTAAGAAGAAAATGATAAAAAAAAAAATTCCCTCATTATTAATTATTCCGGGTAACGAATTTTTCACAGCAACTATCGACTATCATTGAGCTTTCAATTTCAATCCACGTACCACTGATTAATCCATTCAATTAGTTTAATTGAGTGCATTCTCTTAATTCGAAGCGTGCGGGATAATCTGAAAAAATATAAATTGATCTAGTCAATTAATTCGCGGAAGCGGTTCTACTTTCATTCTTCGTCTTCAAATTTTTTTTTGAATTTTCATGGAAAACGGATGAGAATAATTGAGGGAGTAAAATCATTGGATTATTTTCATCCCATGAATTCTCGGATATTCTTTGGGGGGAGTCATACAAATGTGCGTTCATGGCATGATGAACGGGGAATGCAATATTCCCCGGAGTATTCAAATGGCGTCGATCCAAGGGTCAGAGGTTAATTCCATTCGTTTTATTCTCTGGTGAACGTGTGCAATACTCTGATCCGTTTTATAATTTCTCCCCGCTCGTTGCCCCCTCACATCCTCTTTATTTTTTATAACGAGATGAACACGAAGGAGAGGAGATAAGCTGAAATCCTCCGGTCGTTTAACATCTGTATATGGTTACCTCACGACCACAATAAAATCCAACACCTCGAGGTATTGTCATCGAGAGACAATTAAAAAACACTTATAAACATTCATGAATAAATACCGACAATTGGGTTGTTAAAGATGCATTAAAATTCTCAAGAGGAGTCATCGAGATTATTCCAACAAAATCCATGACTCAACTCAGTACCAAAATCAATCATTCGGTTATCAAATAGAAAATACCACTGATAAGAAAATTTATCTCGTTATCGATAACTCGATTTTCCATTTTTTATCTGTTTCGGCTCTCCTCTTTTTTTATCAGGAATTTATATCCTCGAATTATCCATCAATATATTATTCATCGCTAATGAATAATTGATTCACAGAAAATCCAGAGAGAAAAATTGAAATAAAAATTTTGATTGAGGATTGAGCGTAATTAAAAATATCGAACTGTCGACCAATCGTTAATCATTGAACCCTACGAAACAAGACGTAAAAGCATCAGCAATGCCGGTGGTTAGATCCCCATCAGGATTACCAAAAAAAAAAGGGAAAAATCTCCACCCGTGGCTTTTATTCCAAGAACCAACTACCGTTTGACTCCGGACATTATTCATGAACCCACCTTCACTTCTTCATCAGGACGTTGATTCCAATCGTGCAATAATCATCCCAAGTGCACACACGTGCATCATCTCAGTTTCCAATGAAGACATCGTCATCTGGGCTGTCCCCGAGCTGTGAGAGGTGTCTACCTGAAGATGTCCCATTGGCAGGCAGCACCTTGCGAATAAATGATGAAAAATCTGACCAACAAAATGGAAAATAAACAACTGAAATGATCGGGATGAGGAGAGAGAGAGAAAAAAAAAATGGAGGAAGCCAACTCCTGGACTGTTGAGCTCTCACTTAGCAGAAACGGTGTCACGATCGCTTGGGACGGCACATTAGCATATCTCTGCGCGTGTAGAGCACAGGGCAAGAAGCCGAAGAGAGAAGAGAAATTCAAGATGAGACTTGCCTGGTACACAACCAGGGTCGTGCCTCCGTGAGAAGATTCACTCCTCTCTATGCGCTTTTAAAACGTTTCGCGTGTGATCCCCCTCACCCACCCCCTACCACCCCACGGTTAATTCACCTCTATTTTGAGCACCACGTCACGATCGGGTATATCGGAATTGAATTTACATAGACACTTCTTGACGGCCATCATCGGGTGTGCATTAGAAGAGCTCCCAAGGTCTTTGATTCGCTGTCCAGAGGATTCAATTCTCAATTGATCACCCCGAGAAATCGAATATTTTTTTTTAACTACCGTTCAGGGGGATATCTATTATCATTATAAAATGAAAGACCAGACGTTTATGTGTTTATTTATAATAAATAATATAATATCTGGAGCGAAGGGGTGAGTAGTGGGATGAGTGGCTTTTGAGTATTGAGTTTTCCGTGGATATCTCGGGATCTAAGGAGGATAGCCGAATTTTCGTCACAACCTTTTTTGTGGAGAAAACTTAGTTCTACAACAAATGTCATTACAGAAATCTCGATATCTCCGTTAGGTTCTGAGATATTTCTCGAATACTCAGCTGAAAAATAACTCGATTTATCTCACTTCATACCACTTCGTTATTGCTATATAAATATAATGTTTAATTAATCAAAAATAATAACAATAACTGGATATTCGTGGAGAAATCTTCACCAGACATCACCGGGGTATCACCACCAAGTGTCCACCCATTGCCACCTACTGACGAAAAATCCAAAAGCATAAATCCCCCCGAAATGAAAGGGAATCGAAAAAGGGAGTAAGAGAGAAAAATGAGAGTATACGGGTCGTACATGAGTACGGCTTTCCGAGAATTCTCTTATCATCGTGTGGATATGTTAATGGCGGCCGTGTTGTCCTCCCCCTTGGATCCCCTGGATCACTCGAACCTCGACAATCGAGATATATTGCTCGCCCTCCACCGCTCACCATCGGAAAAAGGTACAGCTGGTTGCTTTCATCCTCTCACTCACTCAATCCCCATCAACCCTCTCAGGTGCCTCCTGGTGAAGTGAGATGGGAATGGATCAGTTTGCATGCACATGCAATTAAGAATGGCCCCCAAGGGGCATTTAAACTCGGCTATGTGTCTCTGTTGTACACTTGTATTGGAGTTTCAATGTCCGGACTTTGCTGCGAGATCCATCGATGACTGCTTATTTACAGAGCCCAGGAACACGGCAACTACCAGCCACGTGAGATCCGGGGAATGGATAGGGGTACTAGCAAACCAGTATGGGTACACGTGTACTGGTGATGGTGAGGAGGTAGAAACCATCGAGGGGTGGAGGACAATCTCAATGGGAATCACCAGGTCCCTTGGCCTCTTGACAATTAAAGTTATTCGGTGGACTGATCCTCTGATTGACGAAAGGTCTTCATCATCAGTTGTCTCACCACCCAATCAGTTATTTAAAAAAACAAAAGCACCCCATCGTATTTTAATTAATTATGCATATCGTCATCGTCTCAGATTTTTTCATTTTTTTAATTAATCAGCCCTGTGGATTATTCAGAGGATTCAAAGAGCCCTTTCGTGTCACTCTATTCCCCCAGGGGTTCTGATATCTAGTTGAAACCCCGGGACATGCGTATGAGGAAGTGAGAATTCATGGAGTGGGGGGGATACTATAGTTGGGTGGGGAGGAAAATTCTAGTGGGGGAGACTGATGGAAGATGGAAATGATCATTGGGGATCTGAGCGTCTGGCGCTTCGGATCTCTCAGTATTTTTTCAAATTTTTTTTATTATGATTGTCTCACGGGATCGTCTTCTATCGCCGCACCAGAGGACTCACAAATGTAAAAGCATCTCCTCGAGTTACATCAACTGCTATCTCACTTGATTATATTATTCATTGATTTGGAATGATAGAATTTTTTTTTTGTTCCAGGGGAAGATGAGGAATGGAGCGACTCGGAGAAGACCCCGTCGGTGAGCAGTGGAGTGGAGGGACCTGGGTCGGCGGTGTCCAGTCCAGCCCCGACGAACCAGGAAGACAGCCCGCCACCTCCAAGACTGATAATCCCCCAGAATATCCTGGGTAACAGTAATCCCGAAGATTTTCGTTTGCGTTTATCGAGCCTCGAGGATGCGAGAAAGCGAATCAACAGTCTGGCTGATGATTTCGAGGGGCTGAAGCGGATGAAATCGAGTGGAAGGGATTCCTCGAGTCCAAAGCCATCTCAGGATGGTTCACCATCACCGAGGGATAACGACACCCGCTCACGAAAGAGGGACAACCGTCGATCGTCAGAGGATTCTGTGCGTTCAGAGGATCATTCCGACCCGAAGAAACTCCGTCTCGATGATGACTCGATTCCTCGACTACGACTCAATGCAAGTCTCGCCACAGATCCAGCACTTCGTCCAGCCACTGTAGCAGCCCTCACCATCAAACCGGACAGCATATCACCACCAGAGCCACGATCAGATCCAACTCCACCACTACCCCCAGGTCTTCAGAATGCCATTGCAGCGGGTCGACTGTACGTTCTACCGACAGATGGAAAAGAATCGATAACAGTGGAGCCCTCACGACCAATGCCCCTTATCTGTCTGCCATGTGGCATCAGATTCTCGTCGGCGAGCACCCTCGAGGCTCACAAGACCTTTTACTGCGCCCATCGTCCGAGAATTGACGAGGAAAGTGCCAATGACGATGACGACGAGAAATCGACGAAATTCGAGGTCAGAAAGGCATACGCCTGCCCTCACTGCTCTTACTCAGCTGACAAAAAGGTCTCCCTCAATCGTCACATGAGGATGCACGCATCTTCACCAGCACCAGCACCACCAGCACCATCACCCACTCAGACAGCGCCAACACCAGTGATAACCAACAGCACATCCAATGGTTCAATGAATGAAGAGGCTGAACGTCACTGCAGAAATTGTGATATAAGATTCAGCTCGTTGAAGACTTATCGAGCACACAAGACTCATTACTGCAGCACAAGGCACGTCGTCAAGGACACACCAACACCAGTGTCATCCAAGGGATCACCACCGGCTAGCTCAAGTCCTGGGGACTCGCCACCCCCTCAAACCTGTCTCGCTCTTCCTACTAATCCTATTCTCATTGTTCCTTGCTCTCTACTCAGGGGTGCATCCTTTCTCGCTGCCCCATCGTTGCCTGCCCCTGATACCGCCTGCTTTCTCCTGCCAAATGGCTCACTCCAGCCCATGACTCGAGGTATCACTGGTAATTCAACCGAGAGTACAGCGTGCCCTCAAGTACTCAGGGTCGCTAACAAAAGTGCAACACCTGTCAGTGTACCACCAGCCCCTGCAACACCAACATCACCCTCATCCACTGGATCATTTCCCCTCGATCTGAGTATGAGACGATCACCGGTTCATCAGGATGAGAAGGAGAACAGAGTATCACCAGCTCCGTCATTACCTGCACCATCCGGGAGTCCGAGGTCCAGGGGAAGTGTCAGTCCGAGAACTAGATCTTTACCATCCAGTCAGAGCTCTTCGGCTGTTGGCACTGCACCACCCACTGAATTAGCTCTCAGGTTAACTGAGCTACCACCACCTCCTGTGCCCAGTGTTCCTGGGGTACTCGTTAAACAGGGGGTCAGCAGGTGCAAAGAGTGCAATATTGTGTTTTGCAGGCATGAGAATTTTGTTGCTCATAAAAAGCATTACTGTCAGGCTAGGGAAAATACTGTTTCTAGTCCACCACCCACTGGTACACCATCACCACCACTTGTTCAACTGATTTGCGCTGCCTGTGGAATTAAATTTGCATCGATGGATAATTTGGTAGCACATCAGGCGTTCTACTGTCTCAAACGACCTGAGAATCAGGAACATCACACCAGGTGCCCCAAGTGTAAGGTAATGACTAATTTTTTTTAATAAAGATTACAATAACATTTTTTTTTAATTGTTAATTATTGGAGGGATAATAATCATCGAAATGATAATTATTTGATTTTTTTGCAGACGATGATTGAGGCAGGTAGCACGCACACGTGCTCGAGTGGTCCGACAGGTGGGTGGAGGTGTCCAGTTTGTGGTGCTGTTAGTCCGACAGCAGGCGCCGCCCAGCGTCACATGGACGCTCATCAGGGTGTCAAGGCATTCAGGTGTACGATATGTCGGTACAAAGGAAACACTCTACGAGGAATGAGAACGCACATCAGAATGCACTTTGAAAAACGAGGAACTGATCTTCAGGTTTGTCTCACAAACATCACAACCGATTCTATCTCAGAAACTATTGATTTTTCGAGAAAGCTTGAAAAGACATTTACTCTCAAAAATTTTATGATCTGTGGAAAAGTCCTCTACGATTTTTGAGAGAAATTTATAGTTTTCGAGATCCATCAGTATATAAGTAATAAAAATTGTTAGGTGTTTTTAATTGATTGTTATTGATATTAATAATTATAATTAATTTGTCAATTGTTGATTGCAGGAGGAAAATTACATAACGTGCGTTCTCGATGATGATGCGACAGTTCCCACCCCCGAGCCAGCTCCAGCGACAACCCCCGAGGAAATAACCACCGATGTACAAGTGAATGGAAAGAGTGAGCCACGAAAAAGTCCTCTACCTGCACTACCTGTTCTACCACCACCTCCACCACCGCCGATACAGCAGTCGACGACACCCACTGCAGGTGGCAAAGTTAAACAGGAGAGGGAGGAAACACCACCACCCGAGGAGAGCCTCGATCCGAACAAAACTGGACCCAGGTACTGTCGTTCCTGCGACATAAGTTTCAATTACCTTAGCACATTTATCGCGCACAAAAAATTCTACTGCTCCAGTCACGCTGGTGAAGCTAGTAACAATAATAATAATTCAAACAATAATAATAATAATAGCCACACTACGAGCCCATCGAGCAGGACCGAGGCTTCTGTACTTTAAACATTTTAATGTTGAGCTGGATTAAATATTTTTTATCGGAAATTCAACTCTTGGATTCATAAATATAAAACCCTCCGATTAAATAAACTGAGACAAATCCAATTATTTTATTTTGGTAAATATCGATTTATCTTTTTTTTTGAATGTGTAATTAGATATGAAAATGGTCTGTAGTGTTTCTACTTTGAATAGATAGATTTCGGGATAAATGGATAATTAGGGAAATGATGAATTGGATTTATCTCGGTTTATCAATTCGTCGGGGAGTTAATTAATATTTTATCCAGCCCTGACACAAAAATTGATATTCTGTAGTTGAGTGGAGTGAATAAATCCCGAGACATTGATTTTTTCACTTCACTCGAACAGATTTTTGAAAACAATACGAAATCGATAGTGATTTATCACTGATCGATCAACCATAGGACTGTTAATTGTTGCCAGTTTATAATACGTAAGAAATAATTTTCTTAGTTAAACAAATATATATTGCGTGATTTTAATTGATTTTTTTCTTCGTTGAATCCAGGGAATTGTTCGTACTTATAAGTAAACGATCTGTAAATAGAAGTGGAGAAATGAAGTAGATGAGCATGACGTGGAGATTGCAGGGTTAATCGATCAAATCGTCCTGTAAATAAAATAAATTCAACTGTCGAATTCGTAAGACGATTGAAATTTGATTGTTGAAAACATCACTTCAATGTTCGTTTTATTTTTCTCGTGGAGATTTTCTTATTCATTGGGCCCAACGAGTGGGTGTGCAATCTCATGACTCTCGAAATAATCTCGTAGGTAGTAACTAAAACTTATCGTCATACGTAAAAGGAATTTTCAAATCGTAAAAAAAATTATGAGAAATAGTATCGATGGATGGAGTGTAAAATGTTGTACAGTAGGTGAAAAATCGAGTAGAGTATTACCATTTTAACGAGAAAATACGTACGATAATGATCCTGTAATGATACCAATCTCAGCTTGTGAATCTATTAAGTTACGTTGCAATATAACATTTAATATATTATACAAATATAAATAAATCTAGTTTGCGCTCGCGTTAATTCTGCTGTTTCCATGGGAAAACGGAATTGATTGAATTTTATTTTCATTAATTTGTCCCAATTGATCGTGAAGTGGACAAGTTAATGTGACTATTGCATCGTGGAGGAGACGGTGAGTCAAATAAAAATCATTTACACAAATTTTTGATTGGAGTATCTGTGATCTGAGGTCGACAACTGTCCACTTTTCCCGGGGCATTCAATCACTGAAATTGTAATCAAGGGAATAATTAATTGAATAATCTCGAATGATGAAAATAACGAGCGCACACGATGTGTATAAATTAGAGTTAAGGCCAGTGTTACATGTATACGCAGTGTACTCATATCATATGGTAAAAAAAAAAAATGATGGAGAATATTTCATTGATAAAAGACATGAAATTTTTTGAGCGCAATTTGAATGAAATAATGTTATTGTTCCTTGGGTATTTTTCTCGCACGTCTGATTGAGACTGCTCTTAAATATTTTTTTTTTCTTTTTTTATTATGAATGAATTGTGGAAATCATGAATAAACGCTCTGTGATTAAATTAATATGAATCCATAATTGTTTATTTATTTTCAATTAAATTTTACGATTGATTCAATGCAATATTCAATTTATCGATCGTAAATCAAGTAATAAATTTTCATTCACACTTAGAACTTGTAATTATTGTCCTCTCTCAATCACATTTTTCAACAGCAACTTGTTTCACTGGCCACTGCAATCACTTCCATAATTATCCAAATCCTTAGAGCTACTGTTGCCCTCACTGAGTTCCTCCTTAATCCTCGCCTTGTATTTAGCATATTTGTACCCATAATTATTTACGTCATCCTCATCAACTGCATAAACAAAATCATTGTCAGAGGACAGATCAGACTCATCACCATCGACTTTTAGTCTTTCCACAGCTGCTCTCATGTCGTCCTCGTTGATGGAATCATCGGAGTGCTCGGAGTCTGGATATTCATTTCTCCAGTTTGATTCAGAGTTCGAGTCCTCGGACTCATCAGCATCTGATTTATTAGCAGGATCTCTATAATTGTCAAAGACCAGTTCTTGATCAAGGATGTGGACTGAAAAATCATTCTCAGGCTCCAGCTTTTCTTCAGTTTGAGTATAATACAGATCGTAAACATATTTTTCGTCCTGGAAATAAAGAAAAAAATATTTGTAGGAGAATGAGGGTGAAATGGACCTCGTCTTCATTAAAAAAATTACCCTGTCCCCAGATTTCTTTTTGTAACAAGAGACTGAATCCTCGACATCAATGACAGTCATCCCATCGCTATTAGTTTTTTCAATGGCTGGACCTCCAATTGATCTGTAGCAATTTACAACTCTGTATCGACTTTCTTTAGATCTCTCTTGCGTTTTAATTCGCGATTTGCTGGTGACATCAACGATGTGCTGTTTATAATTGGCCTTCAACTCATCTTTGCTCAATGCCCTGGTGAGATGATGGGCCAGATCCTCCTCCTGAATCCCACAACATAATCACCATTACGATTTAATTATTGAATTAATTAATGAGTGGTTTCCTAGACCAGTACCTGAGTCTGGACAGTTCCAGCAAATTTGACAACAGCAGTGACAGCACCGGATTCATCGCTCCCAACAGCTTCTGCTTCTTCGACTTTTCTCTTCTTACATGCAATTAAGAGGACATCCAGGGGTTCATCATCGATTCGACGCTTAACCCGAAGCACTGTTGACATTCTGAAGTATTTGATAAGTTGAGCTTCTTCAGTAATCTTCAATAACGGTTTCAAATACTGACAAAGAAATGTTATTTCAATTTATTTGTACCGGTATTATGTGAGGTTATGGTTTGGACAAATACATTCACTGTTTTCATGATTTATTGAGCACATGGAGACTCGCCTTCAACCTCACGCAAGGGTAGGGTGTCCACCAAGTCGACAGGGTGAATTTTATTTTCTGCGGCAGGAATACTCTTTGTTTTTTTATTTGTTTAACTGAAATTTAGCCGACTGTCGAACGAGCGGAAGGGGGAAACCACATCTTATGAATTTCACATGAAAAAAATTATTCCATGTATTGAACATATACTACAAATGAAATTATAATTTTAGAAGAAGCGCGTTGTCTAGGTGGCAGCGTGCTTGCCTCTCACGCCGGCGGCTAGGGTTCGATCCTAGCACCATTCATTTTTTTTTTCAAAATAATTCCAATTTTTTTCTTTTGTAAATGTTTAATCAATAAAGATATTGTTTAAAAACTAAATACTTGAACATCGAGGATATATCTAGTGAAATTGCAAAATTCTACATTTTTGAAAACGATTCTTTTACAAAATATATACTCCTAATAAAATTTTATTATTATAATAGCGCGTTGTCCTAGCGGTAACGTGCTTGCTTACCACGCTGAAGGCTAGGGTTCGATCCTAGCACCATTCATTTTTTATTTTTTAATAATTCCTATTTTTTGAAAATAAAATAAAAATTTCAGCGAAAAATTTAGAATTTTCACGTTTCAATGAAATACCAAAATCTGAATTACCAATGTCGGTAATGCAGATCCCTTCTCATCGACTCTTGAATCCAATTAACCCTTAACGGAAACATTTAAACCTAAACCAAATCCAATTAACCCTTAACGGGTACATTTAAACCTAAACCAAATCCAATTAACCCTTAACGGG